TGCGCGCTGCTGTGGCCCTGCGCTCGGCGAGTGATCCTCCAATGCCGTCTCGAAGAAGTCGGCGTCGGCGTCGTCGCCCCAGAGCAGAGCTTCTACCTCATCATCCTCATCCGGAGCTGGATCTGGAGGAAGCCTTGCCTGAGCAACGTCTGGAGGAGGCCCATCACCATCAAACAATGCTTCAGCAAACGACTCATCAACGAAATCCGATTCAATATCAGCATCAACGCCCTCGGACATACCACTCAAATGTCGGAGCCAAACCGGCTACGGAAAATCAGCGACGAAGACCCACCAGCCTTCCGGCCGTAGGTCGTCTTGGGAGTTTCCTCTTCCAACCCCCATTGTCCCCCATTCGGGGAGGGGCTTACCTCTCCCCCCACCCCCATCCCCTGGACCTGGACGGGCGTGGGCCGCGACGCGTTGGAGCGTCCAAGATGGCCCAAGAGCGCTCCAAGAGCGCCTCGGAGAGCCCAAGCTGGCCTCCAAGATGGCTCAAGATATCCCAAGATGCCTCAAGATGGCTTCCAATATGCTCCAGGTGGCACCAATACCGCCCCAAGACGGCTCCACCTGGCCTCCGAGACCTCCTAGCAGGCTCCCAAAAAGCCAAAACCTTTCCAACACCTACAGCAAATAAATTACGTTTGCGTCGTCGCCCGCTCGCGCTCGATAGCCTTCCGAGGCCTCAAGATGGCTCCAAGATGGCCCAAGAGGGCCCCAAGCCCAAGAGAGCCCAATATGGCCCCAAGAGCGCCCCAGGGGCGCTCCAAGAGGGGTCCAGGATGCGATTTGTGTTGGGGCTCCCGAGGGGCAGTGCTACTTGGAGCTCCCCCTTCTTTGATCGATCTCCTCCAAGATGGCCAGGAGACCCCAAGAGGCCCCCAAGAACCCCCCAGGGGACCCCACGCGGCCCCAGGTGGCCCCCCCGAGGCACCCAGGACGCCCAAGAGCCCCCCTGGATTCCCCGTTCCCTCATCCACGGCGGCAGCCTTCTCGGGTCAAGGTCCCCCCCCCCTTAGGCCAGACGGGGTCGCGCTGCCATGGCAATCGGGCCTGGTGACGCGTTGATAGTTCGGCGCCTCGAGCAAAGGGGGATGCACGCTCTGGACCGAGAGTTCCTACGGAAAGACGTAGTCGTCCTCGATGGCCAGGATTCGGGCGGCGAGCACAACGGCGGCGGCGGCGATATCGAGCGGGCCGACTTGTTCGATGGCGATCTTCTGAGGGACATGAGCCCCCCGAAGCTTAGGGCCGCCGGCGCCGTTAAGAATGGCGGCAGGCGCGAACGCGCAGTTGGTTGCCTCCCTCGGCCCGGAGATATGCTGTATCAGCAGGGGCTGATTCGCTCTTCTTGGAGCTCTCTGGGCCGAGGGGGTCGGCCCTACGCGTGCGCTCCGGCCGCATCAGAGGGTGCGTCATAGATACATTTACATCGGGCACCCAGCTTTCAAGTGGCTCCCGAAACTCAAGAAACAGTGAGTAGAAGGCAGTAGATAGTGCACCCATATCGCACAGGGCTTCTCGAATTAGATTGGTTGCGAGTCGCGGCCGCATCGTTGTGGGGAAAATCCGAAATTATTGACGTTTCGCGCATCAGCCGCATCCCCACCAGCCCATCCAGAAACGATGCCCAGGCGAGTTGAGGTGACTAGGGAAGTGCGGGAGAAAAGACGGGGACAGCCAAACCGAGCGAAGTAGGGATGAGGAGAAGGAGAAGGAGGAGGCTGGATGGCCGCCGTTTCTCCCGCTCCCTTCCCCCGCTGGCCCTGGGCCCAGACCTCGACTCACCCGACACGTTCACCAAGGGCGACCCCTGGCCCCTGTTCCTGGATGAGCTGGGCAGGAAATCCGCCATCTATGATTACACAGTTGATCGGTAAGCCTATGCTATATGGTGTATGATACATGGTATATGATATATGATATATTATAGACATGGCATATGCTATATGATACATGCTATTACCATGCTATATGTTAGATATGATATGTGATATACCCACCTATGTTTCGGAAGCATATGCTATGTGATACGCTATAGACTGATATTACTCGAGCTGAGTTGACTGCACATGATATTATATGTAGTATCATACATACTACTTACTGCGATCGTATGGTGATATGTATTTCTTGAACTCAATATTTCTAATGTGCTTGTAATTGTATGGTGGTGTGTATTTCTAGAACTCAATATTTCTCATTTGTTTGTAATTGTATGTTCGCATATTTGGGGCGATTTGTATTCCATGTATTCTTGAATTGTTTGTTGTGGATTGTTTGCTGCGATAATTGCATACCTACCTTAACAGGTTCATCCGAGAGCGTCTACATATTGGCCGGCATCGGCCACTCCTATTGCAGCCGCGTCTGCAACGCGACCGTTTTGCAGACCTGCGGATGCTGCAAGCTCAGCGCCACGCTTGCGTACAGGCAAGTGTGCCTGTTGGGTCGGATCGCAGCTCTCCCGAACGACAGCCCCGTTCGGTTGTGCGCATTTAAACGGTGTTTCTTCGCTCCATCAGGGATAGAAGGCCTCCGTGAGAGGAGACGGCCAAGAAACACGTGGAAACGGAAAGTCCACGAGTTGGCCGTCAGATCGGCGGGAAACAACAACGCGCTGCACGGAATGCTACAAGGCCCGCCAGGCACGTGGCAAATAGCTGCCAGGCGTGTTTTTGTTTCGAGTCGTGATTGCTTACCATGTGTTTTAGGGGATGAAGTATCAGAGGCGGAGTGCTGCCTCATGCATGTTGGCACGATGGGGTGTTCGAGGTGTGTCACGGCGTTCGGCTGCCGTCGCGTCGGCGCCCATTGTCCTGTCTGTGCACCTCTGACGTGCACAGCGCCTTCTTCTTTGGCGACACCAGCATTCCGCACTCTCGCCCGGGTCCTCGCTTCAAACCACTTTAGGGAGCCCACAAAGGACGCACGCGCCCAGCTATGTACATGAACACGGCCCCTTCACCCGCGAGACCTGCCGCGCGATACGAACATTCGCGCAATGCGAACTCTCGAAACCAGCGTGGATTCATGTACATGTACGTCCTTCTTTCGCTCCTGACACTTCGCGACCGAAAAACAGATGGCCCGCGCTCCAGCGGAAACGCAGCTTTGTGGAAATCTGTGCGCGACGCTGGAGCGAAGCGACGACGCTTAACTCTCTCGTGCGCGATGACGGCCGCGTCCCTTTTCGGCTACGTGTCTTGCAATGCCGAACGGGAGACGCCCATGTTGAATCATGGCGAGAGGCGCAAACAGTTGCGATTTGCTTACGACGCAAATCGAAGGGAATGGGATAATCAAGATGTCCTCAACAACGATACGCAAATACTATTCACTACGGACTACAGGGACGACGATGGCGCGAACGAGGCCGAGGAACCTGATGGGGCCATGTTTGATGCTCCTACAATAGGAACGCAAGGCCAGTGTGGCGAAAGAAGCGCGAGTTCGTGCGAGAGCGGACAGCGCGAAAACAAGGGACGCCGAGCGAATACGATTCCAAGTGCGACCCGGGGGACGCGGCGGAGATTCAGGATCCCGACGAAGAGAAGCGCGCCCAGGCGGGCACCACAGCCGAGCGTGCCAACGCAGTCGAGATGGAACGAGCTTGAGTGCAGGCGGGATGTATCAAGCAACCACGCGCGCTAACGTTAGGAGGCAACTACTGGGAAGTTTTCGCCGGAAGGATTCAAGATGATTAAACCCTGTTGGGTGGCTGTTATGCCGGAGTAGACCAGGGATTAAGCCGGATTAAGCGAGATTGAGCGGGATTAGGGCGGCCTTCGGACCAGGGCGAAATCAGAATCTGACCTCCCAGGAGCTGCATCCGCGCCGGCGTCCGCGACGGGCACACCATCGGTTGAGATCTGGCCAGGGCGCAAGACAATTTATGCAGCACTCGTTACCCGGGGGGCACCCGCGAGAACAACGGCAACGTCGGGGCCACGGCGTAAGGAAGGGAAGGCCGAGTGGGGAACGACACGATGCCGCTCCTGGCCTCGGCTGGCCCTGGCCACGAACAGGTTCCCTGGCCTACAGGCGGGTTCTTGCGCACAGGACGCGCGGCAGGACACGAGACTCTTCCGACGGCGACATGGCCTCCAAAACTACAGGACGCAAGGGTACCCTGCCCTTCGGCCGCAGAGGACACGACGCGCGATGCACAGGACACAAGAGCACCCTTGCTTTCGCAGGGCCGACCTGCTAATGGAACCCGACTGTAGGTGGAAGGACCCGCCCGAACACCAGGGCCCCTCTCGAGCCCAAAGTCGCCCTGATTCCAACATGATGACTGCAGGGTCTGTGGTTGGGAGCGAGTCGAGGAGGCAGGGATGGAAGGGCAACATCTTGGTGCGACGGGGCCGTGTCCTGACGAACCCGGCGTTAGCTTCTGACACCATGTGGATCGCTCAACCTTGAACGATCAGAAACTCTCCACTCTCCAACTCGTTACATGCAATCGGACTTCATTGGAGAGGACACGCGAGAGGACACAAGACCCTTCCGAGGGCCACGTCGCCATAGGAGTGCAAGAAGGCACGCGTCGCGAGGCACAGGACACAAGGGAACCCTTGAGCTGGCAGGGTCGACCTACTAATCCGGGCCGACTGTAGTGGCCATACTGGGGCACTGGCGGCGTTCAACCTTTGACGCCCGCGGCGGGGTCGCCGCCGCGTCGACACGACACGAACCTACCGTCGAGTGCTGCGCTCTTACAATAGACCTTGACTGCACTCTTGCCCATCCAACGAGCACGAACAAAACACTTGCCAAACTACGAGAACGGGGACTGCATGTGCGAATCGCAACGACGAGAAATACAACAGCACAACGTGTTGCACAGATCCGCGAAGCATGGGCCATTCTATCCGGAGCGCAGCAAAGAGAATCAGGCAGGGGCAGTGAGGGCAACGGACCGAATATGGGGATGCACGCGTGTGGGCAAACAACAACGCGAAAACCTCTCACAATGTATGGGACAAGATGATTGATTTCTGGTGTTCCTCCGATTTACTAATTTGATCATCTGCAGGCCGTGCCTTGTGCCTAGCAGATCTGGAATACAGACCACAAAACATATAGTTCAATCAATCCATATTCATATTCATTGACACGGCGCCTGCTGTTGCAAAGATAGGCATGACTTGATGCTCGCGAAAGAGCACACTTAAGGCTGACCAGCGGTCCCACGCCTGCCATTGCGGAAGGCGTGCACCTGCTTGCCAAATTGTACGCAGGCCTGCGATGTGGCGGAGTCCTTCCGCCACAGTGCCGATGCGTGCGAATTCCCTTCACGCGCCCGCCGATGCCTTCGACTTGCCGCGCTTGCCCCCGCCAACGCCCTGCTTCTTGGGCTTGGAGCTGCTGCCGGCACTCGCCGAACCGAGTGTCGCGGCGGCGTCTTGCACCTTGGATCCCTTGGCGGCTCGGGCGACGCGATCCACACACGTCCGCCGCCCCTGGCCACCCAGGCCAATCCTGTGCCGTGGAGCGGTGCACATGCCTCCCCTAGACAACCGCGTTCCACGACTCGCAATGTAGCTACTCGCGAATGGCCTGGATCCGTTGCATCCAGGGGAACAGGCTCCATTGTATCGAGGAAAACAAGCTCCATGGGACGTTTGCGTGTAGGCACTCTGCGAGTGGTGGAACGCGCTCGGTGATCCCCAGCCAAGCCAGGAGGGCGTGCATGCCGCTCCCGGGCCCAGGATGGGCCTGGCCCGGGGCGGTCGATCTACATAGATAGACCTCGTCGCCCTCCCGCCGCCGCCTTGGAGCCCTTGGTGCGCCGCTTGCTCGCGCGCGGCACGCAGCAGCCCTTGGCGGCCTTCCCCGCAGCGGCGTCCTCTGGGTCCGAACCCTCGAAGTGCGCCGGCGCCGCGGGCTCCGGCTCCGCGATCCTGGGGGCGGGCTCCTCGGGGCTGGCCCCCGCCGCGGCCAGCGGCGCGTCCTGGTCTACGAGGCTGGCGGGCCGCGGCTCCTCGGGTTTGTCGTCGGGCGAGGGCGCGGCCTCGTTCGCGGGAGGCGGCCGCACAACACCGTTCGGCTGCGCGCAGGAGCGATATTTACAAGGCAGGAGTGGCCTTCGGTGCGCGGCTGCAGGGGGGCGGGGGAGGCTGAGCCCGCATGCCGCTGCCACCACATCGCATTCGGAAAGGTCACTCCTGCGAAGGGTCACTCTGGCGAAGGGTCACTCTTACGCGTAGCCGAACCATGTCTGGCCAGGGCCACCCTGAGCCCAGGGATGGTCTGCATACCCTGCTGGCCCCCAGGCCAGGAGGGCGCATACAGTCATCGTGCTACCATCGGGAACGCATGATAAGGAACGAAACGGCTTTTCTGGCCACGGCGGGTCTAGGCCACACACACACACATCCTCCACGACATACATGTAAGGGACGGCACCCAAATCCGAGCCCCTCTGGGGCCCGAAGCGGTCCTTGTTTCAGCGTTCTGAATGTTCGCACCATGACAGGGCCCAGCATGGCACGGACCTGGCGTGGCGGTGTGCATGTGTGTGTGTGTGCGCGTGTGTGTACGTGTGCGTGTGCGTGTGCGTGTGCGCATGTGCGTGTGCGTGTGCGTGTGCGTGTGCGCATGTGCGTGTGCGCGCATGCGCGTGTGCGCGCGTGCGTGCGTGCGTGCGTGCGTGCGTGCGTGTGTGTGTGTGTGTGTGTGTGTGTGTGTGTGTGTGTGTGTGTGTGTGTGTGTGTGTGTGTGTGTGTGTGTGTGTGTGTGTGTGTGTGTGTGTGTGTGTGTGTGTGTGTGTGTGTGTGTGTGTGTGTGTGTGTGTGTGTGTGTGTGTGTGTGTGTGTGTGTGTGTGTGTGTGTGTGCGTGCGTGCGTGCGTGCGTGCGTGCGTGCGTGCGTGCGTGCGTGCGTGCGTGCGTGCGTGCGTGCGTGCGTGCGTGCGTGCGTGCGTGCGTGCGTGCGTGCGTGCGTGCGTGCGTGCGTGCGTGCGTGCGCGCGCGCGTGCGCGCGTGCGTGTGCGTGCGCGCGTGCGTGCGCGCGTGCGTGGGCGCGTGCGTGCGCGCGCGCGTGTGTGCGTGTAGTGTCGTCCCGTTTGGCCAGCTTTGGCCACAACCTCATCGTGCCCGCGCGCCCGCAGCGACCGAAAACAACTGCGTGCGTGCGCGTGCCTCCCGGCATGCCTCGGGCTCCGCGGCGCGGGCAGGGGAGCAGCAAGCCTGGGGGGCCACAAAGCACTAGTACCGCTGCTCCACCGGCCCCTGTCCAGGCTGGGTAGTCGAAGCCAATCTGACGCCAATATGGCAGGCCAAATCTGGCAAACGGGGGCAATCCGGCGAGGGAGCCAACGCGAATCCAGTCTGGCGAATAACCCAAATCCTCCAATCTGGCCAGGCCAGATTGGCCCTTGGGGCCCAATCCAGTCTGACAGTCTGGCTTTCGACTACCCAGCCAGGGCTGGCCATCGCTCGGACGTCCATTCCCTGTGCTTTTTTCGGTTTCGTGCGCGGTTTTTTCGCAGGCTGATCCAGGATGCTCTTTCATAATCCCCGCCGAGAAAAAGTGCACACGTCCGAGCGCTACCAAGAGGGTGCACACTGACGAAGATTTCGGGGCGAATCCAGCCGTGGCGACGACGAAGGGCAGCGGTATCGGCCTCTTCGAGACGCGGGGACTTCTCCAGATCCACTGCCTGGGGCACCGACGTCCTGAGACACCAGGAGGCGGTGCATGCGGATATGTTTGGTCCCCTGGGGTCCCGGATATATCCAAATCCACCGCCTGCCTGGATCCACAACAATGGATTTTCCAGGCAGCGGGTATGGGTAATTCAATCCCCGCCTCGGAATATTTTCCCTCCCCTGAATGCCAGGGACGCCCCCATCGCTGCCGAATCCTCCCTCTCAGCGCCAAGCACCACGTCCGTCGACCACGCGCAGACTGGCGCGGCCTCGTTCGCCGCGCCCTGGGTGGCCTCTGCCGGCCCGACTGGCGGCTGCTGCTCCTCGTCGACCGTGATGCACCCGATGTGCGGACCCTCCTCCTGCTTCTCCGGCTGTTTGGCGGCGGCGGGCTTGGCGGCGGAGAAGAGCCCCGAATGGCAGCCGAGGAAGCTCAGGCACGCCATGCCGTCCGACCCGGGGGCTGCCAGGAGTACCCCTGGCCCAGGGTGCCCCGAAGATGCTGGTCGCCGATACCGCTACTCCACTAACCTCCTGGGGCGCGTTTTCACCAGGAGCTCTGGAGCGAAGCCAGCCGTGGCGACGAGGAAGGGGCAGCGGTGGCGGTGCCTGTTCCCCTTTCTGACTTCTGGAGCAGCCCGGGGGCTCCCTTGGGGCCCTGCGGAGGGAAGCTCTCTGGATGCCACCTGGTCCTCCCTGCCTCCTCTGGCAGACAGAAGAGCTGGGGGCACCTTGGGACCAGGGGCGCCTCTGGCAGCGCCTGGCCAACGTGAGGCTGACGGGCGAGGATAGGCGCCAGACGTCGGGGCAGTGGCGCCAGAGGTGCCCTGAGACAGCCGCCGCGGGTCACTGCGGCCCGGCCAGGGCCGAGACGGCAGTGGCGCCAGCGCCTCCGCTCCACGGGCGCCTGGCCAGAGAAGGCGGGGAGAGAAGTACGGACAGACGCATGATGTAAATTGTGGAGTGCTCGACCTCAGCTCCCGCACCCGGTCCTCCGACGTCGCGAGTTGGATGTGAAGGAGGGGTAGAACGTCAGATGTATCGCGAGCGTACCTAGCGTCCTCTCTCCTCTCTCTTCTCTCCTTTCTCCTGTCTCCTTTCTCCTCTCTCTTCTCTCCTCCTCCTCCTCCTCCTCCTCCTCCTCCTCCTCCTCCGCATCCGCCTGCTCCTCCGCCTCCTCCTCCTCATCCTCCCCCTCCTCCTCCTCTTCCTCCTCCTCCTCCTCCTGCTCCTGCCCTTCCTCCTCCTCCTCCTCCTCCTCCTCCTTTCTCCTCCTCCTCCTTTCTCCTCCTCCTACTCTCTATAATTCCACATTTTTCTCAGCCGCTTGAAGCGACAAATTGTCATGCTCCAACGCCTTGCTATGCGTTGGGTCGCAAGAACTCGGATGGCTACTGCTGCCAATCAGACCAGCCAACCGAACGAGCCAGCCCGAGGAGTCAACCAAACTAGACCAACCAAACCAACCAAACCAACCAGCCATCCAAGCCGGCCACGCCCAGGCCAGACTAAGCAGATCAACGAGACCAGCCACACCGACCAGACCAAACCTGCACTGCGACAGAAACATATCATGCACATGCATCAAAGTAGTCAGACCAGCCAAACTCAGAAAGTCAAACCAGACCAGTCAGCCTAGCCAACCAACACCATACCAACCAGACCAACCATCCACTTGGACCAATCAAGCTCAGACCAGACCAGATAGATCAACCAGACTAACAACATCAACCATACCAAAACTGCACTCGAAGATATGCAATGCAACAACAACAACAACTGCGACGCACACAACTTGAACCAGGCAGGTCAGCAAGACCAGCAAGTCAAACCAGCGAAGTAGACCAACCAGACCAACCACACCAGCCATATCAACATTGCACTGCAAACAGAACTGCAATGCCCAGACCACATTCGCATGGCAAAAACGGCAATGCAATAAACACTGTTTTGATGTGGTCGTGGTTGGCGCTGCACGCCTCTCACCTCCATGGGCCTCCTCAAACCACATTCGGCTCGCAGGCGGGATCATAAACTTAAGCTCCAGCAGCGAAACAGCGGCGTTCCGAAGCAGAGCCGCAATTCATTGTTGGAACACCTGCACAGCTAACGATGATGCGTACAAAGCTGTGTTGTTGTGGTCGTGGATAGCGCTGCGCGCCTCGCGCCTCCGTGGACCTCCTGAGAACCACATTCGGCTCGCACGCAGATCTACAAGCCAACGGCTCTCCGAAGCGTTAGCTAAACTCACGCTTAAACTGCAAGCTTACTGGGTTGCACCTTGGCGTGCAGCCATGCGCTACACGACTAAGGACTTTATGAATCCTACTACCCCTCTCTTCTGACTCGGTCCAGAAAACAGGTTCGGTCCTCTCCGCGTACGACTTCCCACACAGGATTCCAACCACTGATGAGTCGTAGGTTGTTTTTTACAGCCCTGGTTATTTTCGGTATTGAAGATGCTGTTCCTGCTGCAGCGTGGGCCTCATTTTCAGATCGGCGCTTTGCTCCGCTTGTTCAGAATGGCACTCTCGCCAAAGCGCGGGTCACCTGTCTGGATCCGAATTCTTTTTCATCGTTGTCGCCCCTCGTCCGTCTTCCCCTGCTCCTCCTTCTCCTCCCTCTTCTTCCGCTCCCACTCTGGCTGCTGCTGTTCGTCTTCATCCTCCTCCTTCCTCATCCTCCTGCTCATCCGCCACCTCCTCCTCGTTCTCCTCCTCCTCCTCAGCCTCCAATGCACACGTCTCCATTGTCCTCAATTGCGCATAACACGATGGGGTCCTCTTTGGAGTTCCAGATCCGCTATGACACGCGTCGGCAGATACCGATAAATCGCAGCGCCATTTGAAAGGATGGGTGGGAGGGGTTGGACGCCAGACATCGCACGAGCGCAACTAGCTTGCCTCTCTCCCTCTGTCCTCTCTCCTGGTCCTCCCTCCTTCTCCTCCCGCCACCTCATCCCTCCTTCTTCCTCCCCCCTGCCTCCCCTTCCCCCTTTGCCCCCCTCTCGCGCAGACGATTGGAGCAGACTTCGGACCCCCCCCGCCCTTTCCCGACCCCCGCCCGTCGGACGAGGCGCCGCTGGCGGGGCGCGCACCGCGGCCGCCGTCTTCTGCGCGGCCGCCCCCGTCGCCGTGGTGGGCCACCACCCTCCGCGGGCCCCCCTCTCCCGATATCCCTCCGCGGCCGTGGTCCCTCCCGTTTCCCGATCCTGGGTAGTCGAAGCCAATCTGGCGTCAATCTGGCAGGCCCAATCTGGCAAACGGGGGCAATCTGGCGAGGGAGCCAACGCGAATCCAGTCTGGCGAATAGCCCAAATCATCCAGTTTTGCCAGGCCAGATTGGCCCTTGGGGCCCAATCCAATCTGACAGTCTGGCCTTCGACTACCCAGCTCCGATCTCAAACCGTTAGGAATCGCGAGATTCCAACGCAGCAGGTGGAATCCCAGCAAACCGAGTGAGACCCCGACGGGCACGAACGAGACAGGACGTGTGAGATCCCAACGAAGCTTCTCCGAGCTTGCCGGGACAGGCGCTCATTACTGTGAGATCCCACGGGGTGAGCTGACTTCACCCGGGCCAAATGCGATCCCCCCTCCCGTCCTCCGCCCCGCCGGATGACGAGGCGCCCAGCCGGCGCCCCGCGGGGCGCGCAGCCCCGCGGCGGCCGTCCTTCGCGGGCCCTCCCGCCGCCGCGGTGGCCTGGCGGTGCGGGAGCGCCCACGCGCGCTGGGCCGTCACTGCGGGCACGTCGCCGCTGTAGTCGGCGGTCGTCGTCGTCATCGCCGTCGTTCGACATCGTCGCGGTCGCTCGTCGTTGTCGCCGTCGTCGTCGTCGCCGTCGCCGTCACCGCCGCCGCCGCCGCCGCCGTCGCCGTCGCCGTCGCCGTCGCCGTCGCCGTCGCCGTCGCCGTCGCCGTCGTCGTCGTCGTCGTCGTCGTCGTCGTCGTCGTCGTCGTCGTCGTCGTCGTCGTCGTCGTCTTTGTATGGCATGGCCGTCGGTCGTCGTCGCCGTCCGTCGTGATCGTCGTACGACGACATGGAAAGAGGACCAGAAGCTTGGAAAGGAGAGGAAATGAGCGGGGAGCAAGAAGAGGAGGAGACGTCAGGGGGGCAAGAGGAGGAGCGGGCAGGGGACAGAGGGGGAGTGGTACGAGAAGGGGGGTGAGGGGGGTGTAAGATCAGGGGGAAGCAGCATGAGGCGGAGAAGGAAGAGGCGGAGACGTGAAAGCAATACTCGAAGGAGGAAAAGCCAGGGAGGCGGAGGAGTCGGAGTGGAGTATGAGCAGAAGAAGCGGGATAAGGAGCAGGAATATGAGCATGAGGTGGGAGTAGAAGGAGGGATGAGAAGAGGCAGACATTGGGAAGCGAAGGGATAGGAGGATCAGCGGAGACTGGAGAAGAGCGGAGCAAAATCAACAGCAAGCCCCCTTTCCCTCTCCTTCCTGTTCAAATTCCTCCAGGGCTTCTTCCCTCCTTCCTGTCTCTCCTCCTCATCCGCCTCCCCGATCCCCCTCGTTAAACCTCCTTTTCCTTCTCATCCTCATCCTCTCCTCCCTACCCTGCTACTCCTCCACCAGCTGTGTCTACCTGAGCGGCACCGATGGCTGCCGCCGAAAACGTCCGCCTCACGGCGGCGCTTGGGCCTCCCGCCAGGTGAGCGCGAGCCGAGCACCTGCCACAACGCGGTAAGAGACTTTGGGCTGGCACTCGCAGCTCGCAGGAGGGATGCCAGGGGGGGGAGGGGGCGAGCGGGTCCAGGTCCGCCGCCTGAGAACGCAGGACCCCTCTTCAGAAGGGCTCCCCCCCTCCCACGCTCAACAACAAAAACAACCCTCACCACACGCCTTCTCAGAACCAAGGGGCAACTTACATCCCCGTTACAGACGTGTTGTCGCCTTGGCTGCAAGGAGCATGATTTTTCCTTTGGTGCGCGCCCCGTCAAGACAGCATCATCGAGAACTCTTATGGCCAATGGTAAGGGTACTCCAGGAGCGCAAGCTTGAACAATTGCGAACCATGCGTGTCCAAATGAGGTGCGGACATGCATCTGTCGCATCCCACCACACTCCGCTCCAAGCTGTAACTCTTCACCCGCCACTTCAACATGAAAGCAACCCACTTCAGCGCCCGGGCTGCATTCTGCCTGCGGATGTTGTTGTGGAACTCGCGGTCGGCCGGTTCCACAACAACGCTGTGGCCAAAGTAGTTTCCGTGGGAGGGCACGAGGTCGATATCGCCACATGAGCCATCATCATAGAATGTGATTTGCAGGGCCGCTGGACCCATTCTAGCTTCAACCTCATTGAAACCCGAGATCGCGCCCCCTATGCGATTCGTGTCTTCTATGGTCACAGGTGGTGAGTTCATGAGCCAACCATTTGGAATCTTGGTGTGGTAGTCTTAGTCTGAAGAGATGATGTTGATGCGCTTCCTCGCCGAACCCTGTAGCTCGATGTAGGCCTGGCCCTTCAGAACGAGACGAACAGCTTGCGTAATCGCTTGCACGACTCCGCCAGGCGGCTTTCCTCGCGGCACGAGCCGCTGCACGAATTGCTGGAATTGCCCTTGAGTGCGGCAAGCCTGCTGGAACTCACGCAAGACCCCTGCATTTTGGGTGCGGATAGCCTGCCCGTGCATGCGGAGGCGGTCTTCTTAATATTCTTCCTTGTCTGAACGCAACCACCACATCACAACAAGCGCCACACCAACGAACACTACTCGATCCATGCCCTTTGTCCTAAAAGAATGAACACAACCCACAAAAAGGGTAGAGTCCCGCTTCGCTGATGCATGGGCTTTGGGCCACAATGGCTATTTACGGATTGGCTGCACATTTCTGACGGTTTCGTCACATGGCCAGGGGAGACTTGTGGCTTGTGTCTCGTGGGCGGGCAATGGTCAATCCTGCAATGCCTGCGCCTGAACACTGACCTGGAGAGAACTCCCCCTCATGCTCCCGCTAGATCTCGTGGCGACCTGGGTCAGAC